AACCCCTAAACCCTAAAACACTAAAGCCTTAAAATCCTAAAACCCTAAGCCCTAAAACCCTAAACCCTAAACCCTAAAACCCTAAAGCCCTAAAGCCCTAAAGCCCTAAGCTCTAAACCCCCAACCCTAAGCCCTAAAACCCAAACCCCAAACCCCCAAACCCCCTAAACTGAACCCAAAGCCCTAAACCCTAAACCCTAAACCCTAAGCCCTAAACCCCCTGACCCCTACATCTTCCACCCTTCGTGTCCCACTGTTTTGGGTTTGGGGAGTCCCCAACCACCCCCCCTGAATTTTCAGGGTTTAGGGTTTAAGGTTTAAGGGGAAGGTTAAGGGCGAAGGTTTAGGGTTTAGGGTTTAAGGTTTAGGGTCTTTAGGGGTTTAGGATTGAGGGTTGAGGGTCTAGGGTTTAGGTTTTCAGTCAACACGGGAGCCCCCGAATCCATAAACCTCGAAGTTCGATGACAACAACCCAAAACTCTCTAAGCCTTAACCCTAAACTTTACACACTAACCTCAAACCCTTAAACCCTAAACCCTGAACCCTAAACCCTCACTACTCTTAAGCCCTAAGCCCTGAAGTCCAGGCCCCAAGCCCTCATGAAAACGCAGCAGGCATCCTCCTTCGGATCGATGGGCTTCGCACGGCCCGATGCTCAAACTCAGGGAGTTGAGGGTTTAGGGTTTAGGGTTTAGGGGTTTAGGGTTTGGCAAGCTTTCCTCACTATCAGGGCCGATTGCGCTTCAGCTTTGATTGCTTATGGCGTCGGCTTTAGAACTATAGGGTTTAAGTAGGCTTTAGGCTGACCGGGCCGAGTTTTCGGCTGACAGCGGCTTTCATCAATATATATTAGCATATTATGCTGGCTTCGGGAGTTCTGAAACAGTCACGGATCTAGTCCAAAGCTCTTACATATCTCTCGACAAAAAACGTTAGGAAGGATGTGGGTGGTTCTCTTATTCACAGCCCCTTTTCTATATCGCAAAAACGGCAACAAAAAACACATCACTCTTATAATGAGAGCCTACAGGGACCCCCACTTCGAAACG